CAGGCAGGGCTCCAAAACCCAAACAACAGCAGCAGTTTTACTGCAGAGCAAGCCATGAGCCCCAGCAGGCCCAGAGCATCTCCACTGAGGGGGATCATTTATCTTCCCAAAGCTGGCAGGGCACACTGCCCCTGGGAAAACAGGAACAGCTCCACATCTTCTCCATCTCTGTGATCAGCCCTAGAGCTTTTCCAGGCTGGTCTGGACAGTCAGCTCTGTGGAGGGATCTAAGCCAGGAAAGTGTAAAACATCATTAATGAGCAGCTTGCCTAGTCCTGGCTGTGTGGCATGCAGTGTAAGAGGAGCAGCCTGTGGGATGGCTGTGACAGCTCAGCTCAGCAGTGCAGGCCTCATGGAGGATGCTCCAAGGACGCCTCCCTGATCGATTCTGCATTCTGGAAAATGCTGCTCAGCTGCTCTTTGCAGCCAGCAGGGCTCTGTAGCTACTGGGATTTCCCACCCTTCATTTCCCACCCTTCATTTCCCACCCTACAGCCCTCTGAGCACCCCATTGCACCCCTGTGGGTCTCCAGCTCAGCATCCAGGATTAGATATCACAGCACTGGTGTTCAATCCCCACTGGGAGCATCTTCAGGCCTCCTCAATCCTGCATTGCTCTGTAAATCAGAGTTAATGTAGAAAAGCAATGCTGAGGAGCTGGGGTTGCCTCACAGGGGAGTTACAGTGCTCACAGGGCTTCATTACTCTCTTTTCCCTGAGGACTTACCACCCCTGTCTTTCTCATCACAGGAAAATGCCCTGAACCCTGGAAAAGACCTGATTGCAGTACTGTTTTGAGGCAGGATTTCTCTCCACCCTTCTGCATGAGGCTGCCCAAACACAAGGAGAAAGGTTTCTCTGGTCTTCCAAGAAAGCCCCAGCTTCCCCTTTCTTCTTCTGGGGATGGAGCTGACCTCCTTCTGCCCTTGTCCCTGTGAACAGCGTGTTATTTCCAGCAGCAGCCAGGAGTTGTGGAGCAAGAAAATGGCAATTTTCCTGTGCTGGTGGGTTAGTGCTCTCACAGGGGGTTTGGAGCCCCTCAGAGCTGGGCTCCTGTGCCCTCAGTGACTGCCTGGGCTCACAGGCATGACCAGACACAGCTCACTGTCTGTGCCCTGGGTGCAATGTCAAAGAACTCCCCTTTGCTCTCTTCTAATTGTATTATCCACAAAACAAAGCAAAACTCAGGGGTTTTAGGTTGAAGCATCATCCCTGCTATAACAACAGCAAAGCAGAGCAGGGACTGCTGAGGCACAAAGCTCCTGCTGTTCCTTCTGGCTGAGGGCTTGGCTGCCATGCAGGAAGCTGTGGGAAGCAGAGCTCATTCTCCCCCACCCCAAAGACCAAGAGTGCCACTTTCAGCTCCAAAACCTTCAGAGCACTTTGTGGATCTCAGCCTTTAAAGGCAGTCCTCACAGATTCTCCCATCTGATCTCATCCCAGAGCAAGGTTTCTGTCCTGCCTTCCTCTGCCTGCTGCAGCCACGGCCTGGGGCACGGCCTGGTCCCCACAGGTCACCTTGTGGGCAGTGTCCCTGAGTGCCACATGCTCTCCTGTCGCAGACATTTCTTCATAGAAATCTTTTCTTTGGGATTTGTCCATCTTCTGGGAAGCAGAGCCCCAGAAAAACAATGTAAACAAATTGTTATCAGCTGCTGTGAAATGTGGCAGGGGTTCTTGTGATTGGCTCATCTTCTATGTGTACTATTAAGGGCCAATCACAGGAGCAACTCAGGGATAGATTCCCTGAACACAGAACTTTGTTATTCATTCTTTCTATTTTATTCTTAGCTTAGCAGCTCTCTGCAAGCTCTCTCTTTATTCTGTTTAGTATAATTATAATGTATTATATATTATATATTATATATCAATAAATCAAACCTTCTAATCAAAAAACAAGATTCTTGTCCTTCTCTCACCCAGTGACCTCCTCAAGTCTCTGTAATACTCTCCCACTTGGCAAACTCCTCAGCACAGGAGGCTGCTTCCAGGTTCCAGCACTTACTGGCAAGCACCAAGGGGTTTGTGCAGAAGGGCTCTGAGTGATCCAAGATCTCTGGGAGCTGTGTTGTGGCCACTGCCTGGTTACTGACCTGCAACATGGGAACCAGTGACCTGGGAAAACAAACTTTCCTGCTCCCTGTCTTCTAATATTTAGCTTTGCTTTTTGAGATGAAAGGAGAACGAATTCCTATTTGTATTCATTCCCATTGCCCAATTTAGGAGTTTTTAATCATTTACTGAGAAAAACAAGCTTTCTATGATGATTGATTGGACTTGAACATAGCTTGCATTCCAACTCCTGAGCAAATAGAAGCTGATTCAGTGTTACCAAGACACTGAAAACATTTGTTATCTCTGTCTTGAAGGTAACAAATCTGCATCAGCAAGTGGGTGTGAACCACAGAATCGTTTGGGTTGGGAGGAACCTTAAAAATCATGTCATCCAACCTTTGCCATGGGCAGGGACCTCTTCCACCATCCCAGGTTGCTCAGAGCCCCATCCAGCCTGGCCTTGAGCATTTCCAGGGATGGGTCAGCCCCAGCTCCTCAGGACAGCCTGGCCCAGTGTGTCACCACCTTCACAGGGAATTTGTCCCTGCAATTTAATGTAGATCTCTTTTAGTTTTTGCCCATGTAAAACATCCCTCTCCCTTATTTACAGCCCTGTTCAGTACTGGAAGGCTGCTGAGGGCTCCCCAAAGCTCCTCCAGCTCTCTCAGCCTGTGTTCACAGGCACATCTGTACAGCAGGAATAAACCCACAGCTGATGCCCTGCTTGCCAAAGCACATGGGACAGATGAGGATCACTGCCTCCTCCTTCTGGCTCAGTAACTCTGAGTTCTCCTAATTACAGCTTTCAAAAATCCTCTTCCCAGCTGTCTTCATACACTCAGCAGCCCATCCCTGGAATGCACATTCAAGCTTATACCCTTTAGTTTTCAGACAGATTGACCACTATTACTAATGGACATAAAGAAGGGGAGACAGTTAGGAAGCTGCTTTTTCTTCCCTCATTCCTCCTGTGTTTCCACAGCATTGGGATATTCTGCCACCCTGAAGAGCAGCAGACAGCCAAGAGAAGGGATGGTTCCCTTCTTCCAGCCTTTCCATCATGATCTCCTCCTCTCTACAAAATCTCATCTACTGCTCACTCTTTGGGGCCCTTTATGCCAAAAGTGACTCTCATTTGTCTGCTGCAAACAATCACAAAGCAGCAAGAGCCCCAGCCATTACTGCAGCCTTTTTCCACACTGTTTGGGGGTAGGTGGTTCACACTTCCTCAAAAAGCACTGTGCAGTGAGAGCAGTGAGTGCCAGGAGGAAAACAGACTTTTAAAACAAAAGATCCAAATGCAACAGAGGTTCTTGGGATGTGAAAAAAAGGTAAAGTTTCCTAACCACATGAAGCAGTTTTTTCTAGCTGTTTTCTGCACACAGATGAATTCTAAGCAAACCCAAATTCCTTTCTCAGAAAGGGGAGTTGAGATGATCCCCAAGCCAATCTGCTCACACTTGAGCAGGGATTGAGAGCAATTGCTACCTCAGCTGCTTCTCCTTCACAGTATAAAATAAACCCATTTACATGCCAAAATACCTACCTTTCTCCAGCCTTGGAGATATGGCCTCTCATCTGAGGCGGTGTTTCTCCCCTGTCACTTTTGTCCATGAACAGGGACAGACACCCACTTCCTTTTTCTATCTATCTAAGATGTATTTGAGACTTTTCTACAGAGCCAATTCTTTCAGTACAATCAGAATCAGGTTTTGGATCCTGGTCTGTGCCAATATTTCAATACAATCAGAATCAGGTTTTGGACCCTGGTCTGTGCCAATATTTCAGTACAATCAGAATTGGGGTTTGGATCCTGGTCTGTGCCAATATTTCAGTACAATCAGAATCAGGTTTTGGATCCTGGTCTGTGCCAATATTTCAATACAATCAGAATTGGGTTTTGGACCCTGGTCTCTGCCAATATTTCAGTACAATCAGAATTGGGGTTTGGATCGTGGTCTATGCCAATATTTTGTCAGGAGACTTTCCTACAATGCCAATCAGTACAATCAGAATCAGGTTTTGGATCCTGGTCTATGCCAATATTTTAAAGGCAACTCAGCACTGAAAGGGAAAATTGGATCATCCTGCCACAGCCTGAGCTCATTTTCCAAGTGGCTCAGTTACTGGGAGCAGCACTGAGGAACCACTTCATTGAATGAAGTGGTTTAGTTATTTAGTGATTTAGTAATTTAGATCAAACTGTTCTGAGCACCAGGGGATGCCACATCTCCAGACAGGAAATGTGCCATAGATTCTCTTCACTGCAGGACTCTGAACATGTTTTGTGGATCTCTCAACAGTCTGTACCAGTACAGATGTAACCTGGAAGTAAAAGCCTTTTTGTACAATGTTTGTTCTTTCCCATCTCTTTGCTAAACTGTACCCAACTGAAATCTCTCCTGATTCTTTGGTGAATGATGTTTTTGACAACCACCAAGCAGGTGCTAAGACTGGAGAAAGACACAAGGAAATCTTTCCCAGGGATTGCCAAGTGAAACCGGACACGGGCTGAGTTAATGCATTTGTTGAGCTTCAGAGCTGCTGCAGGACAGGTGACACAGCTCTAAGGGGCTGAGGCACAGCAGAGCCAGCCAAGGGACTGCACAGAGGCTCTTTCACAATCCCAAATCAGCATGGCCCACTCTCTGATCTGATCCCTGCAGTGCAGCCCCCTGGAAGTGGCTTTGCTCTGCTCTGGCACTCCCACTGGTGCACAGGTACCAGTGAGAACAACCAGGCACTGAGATCTGGTAGAAAACCTGCTCACTGCCATCTGGACAAACTCCAGAGAGCTTTAGCTACTTGTGTGCAGTGCATCCTGATTAAAATGGAATATATAAATGAGTTTGATTTCTGAGGAGTGGCAAACAGCCTTGGGCCACATGATTTTAACAGCAGAATCAAAAGTGAACTCCCCTTGGTAACACAACCACATAACATGGCATTCAGAATATTTCTTTGCAATTTCTTTTATTAAATATCCTTTTTGATACAGAATATTTAGGCAAAAATAGTTTACAATCTCTGTTTTGGTGATTCTTACATGAGTCTTTCACATAGTCACTTCTACAGCAGCTCATGTTGGCATTTAAGGAATAAATCTTTAGCAAAAATCAAATCTCTCACTGTGTGAGATCTATTCTACCCAAAGAAGTTAAAAGAGCATTGGAAAAACTGTGAAAACTCTGAATTCCACTCTTCAGCTAAAAGAAGTTTAAGAACTGTGTCACAGACACATTCTTCTTAATAAATGAAGCAGCAGAATAGGAAAATGCATCCTCTGAAGTTTAAACAAGCTCATGTCAGTGCACCCCAGGACAGCAAAAGCAGAGGAAATGCCTCAAGCACAAAGCTCCACTGCAGTGCTGAGGTTCAGCACAGCAGTGCCCAGCTCCACCTGCCAGTCTGGAATGTCATTTCCAGCACTGGAAATCTGTCATGGTAATGACCAATGGTCACTGGCACTGCCCACCCTGACGGGATTCTGCCCCACACAAGTCAGACACCATAAACAGATTCTGCTTTCACTTCTGCTGCCAGAACAGCTGCACAGCCTGAGACCCAGACTGACTCCTGCACTTCATTCTTTTCTATGTAAACAACCTCAATTTTTTTACATTGATGAACTGTAAATAAGCGTTCCTTTGGATCAAAATGCTCATTAAATAGATAAGGCTCATTGGGTATCCAGATAAAGAAACCTGTTGGCACAGGGAAGGCATCTGGAGACACAGCACATGCAGTTCTCATGATGAACATTTCAAGCAGATCCTGAAGTTCCCACCAGAGCTCTATGTCAGGGGCTGCTTGAGGTCAAACAAGCCAGTCCCTCCTTTGACAACCTTCCCAACCACCAGGCAGGCCGAAGGGGAGCGCAGCTCATCGTGGGCACCTGCAACACAACCCAAACAAAATCCTGTCAGGAGCCTCCCAAGGCTTCTCCAAGGTCAGTGCTGGAAAGAAATCGTTTTGGTTCAGAAAGGTTCTGCCACCTGCTGTTCACACTGAATTGGGATTTCTGGGAGTTTAGAGGCCACAACTCTTTCTAACCCTCCCACAACAACTATTATCTCATCCCCATCTTTGGTCCAAGCAAATAATTGGGCCACACATTACTAAAACCTCCCGATTCCACATGGAAAGACAAAACAGTCTGAATTCTAAGGGAACACAGATTTGACCTTCCAGTGAACACTTACAAAATCCTGGTGACTAAATAGGTCACTAAAAAATACATGTGAGGCAAAACCAGAAAGCTTCCCTTGTCACTGCTGCCTTTTTCCTTTGTTAGCATGAATCCCTTTGATGTGTATTTTAAATCCCTCTGGCTAGATATGAAGAGAACTTTTCACTGGAGAGACATTCCATGGATTCCTCTGATTTTGTGGTTACTCACTGTAGCGAAATAGTGTCACAGAAATTTGGAAGCACTCCAGATGACATGTCTGGCTGGGATTGTTTTACTTCCACTGTTTTTGTAAGCATTCAGGCTGTTTTTTATTGCAGTTAGTTTCATCCTAACTACAGCAAGCTGCAAGTTTATCATTAGCACAGCAGGAAATTGGAAATAAAATTGTTAAACTTCTGCTAAGCTTGGTTATCTTTCTTCCAATGAGCAAAATGTACTGAGCTTTGCCTCATGCAGAGGGTGGGGGCAGGAGCACACACAGCACTGAGTATGGCATGTGCTCACTGCTCTGATCTCAGCCACAGCTGGATAATTAAACAGCTGAAGGAAGAAAAAGCCCCTTTGTTAGGTGGTTAAACAGGACAGTGGTGCTGCCCTGTTTGCTCATGTGATGTGAACAAAGAGTCGTTCTGTGAGCAAACAGCCCAGGGCATCTCTGCTGATGCAGT